ATAGAATGGAGTCGGATTACAAATGAGGAGGAACGTAACTTCACTTGACATTTATTTGACATGGACTGAGGGGATACAGTTGCCAACATGTAACATCTCCCTTTTTTAGAGAGAGCAAATGACATAATTACACTTCAAGATAACAATTCAAACATTACAAATCAAGATTACAATTGAAACATTACAAATCGAGTCTCTTCGGACTGGTAAGCTTACGACCATATTGAGACACTTTGGGCTTGGTAACTACGACAGGAGTTTTCTTCGATTTCTTTTTCTGCTTAGTTGAAGATAGTACAGAAGGATTAGGTACTACATGACTAGAACCACTTTCTCGCACAGGAGGAATAATAGGTACACTGCTATCAGATTCAGGGATTATCACAGCTATGTCCTTATTAACTAGATCAGACAAATTTGGTTTGGTTCTTGATTTCTTCATACACACAGAACTCCTCCTTATCAACCGAGAACTACCCTTGACTTGGAGCCAGTAGGAACGGGGCTCTTTGGCATATACCTCACAACTTTGGCTTTTCTCCAATAGCTATCCTTTAAGGTTTTAGTAACTACCTCTTCACCTGGCTTATAGTTAACAGTGTATCTTTTAACTCTTTTATCATGAACTTTTTTCATGGCTGTTTGCTTGATTTTTAGCATAGGAACAATGTCTGTCTGCACATGAGGTTCAAGCCACCTGTCATGAATGACTAAAGGGGTTCGTAACATCCTGCTATGCAAAATTTGGGAAGGAGACATTGATAAATTAGAGATAGGAGTGTTGTTGTGCTCCATTACAGCTTCTCTGTAATCTTTCCTTTCTTCCTGGGACTTACGCATAAGCTGCTTTACTATTTTGACAGCCCCCTCGGCCAAACCATTGCTTTTATGGTGCTCAGGGCTACAGGTAACTAACTCAATATCGTGCTTTGCATAATATTTTTTACACTCATGAGATGGAAAAGGATTATTATCTGCTACAATTACTTTGGGATAACCATACTTAGTAAAAACATTTTGAAATATGTCTATCACAGCAGCTGAAGTCTTTTGTTGTAGAGGGTGAACTTCTACCCAATGAGACAAATAATCAATAAGGACTAGAAAGTCATTTCCACCATATGTACAAATATCACAACCCACTTTTTCATACCTGAGAGTGGGGACTTCTAAGGGTAGAAGAAGTTCCTTGGAGTTATTGGGTCTATATTTTTCACAGGTTCGACATTTCATCAGACTTTCTGAAACATCATGACTTAAAGTGGGCCAATAAAACAGCTGTTTGGCCTTTGCTAAAGACTTGGGTAGACCAGGATGCCCACGATGAACTAGCTCTATTACATAAGATTGCAAGGACGAAGGTACTACAATTGTTTCTTGGAGGAATAGAAAACCATCTTGGACGTAGAGATAATCTTTAAACTCATAGTAAGGTTTACACTCAGGGCTCAACTTACTCTCACTGGGCCAGTCATTATTACAATACTGCACAACCTTACTTAAAACTGGGTCAGTAGACGTTTTACTCACAAATTCTTGCTTTCTTGTTGAGTTCATGGGCAAGTGAGCAGAAACTGAATGCACCACTTCTGACATTTCCTTATGCTCACTGATAACACTGAGACAGTTTCTAGACAACAAATCAGCAAAGTGTAAGTGTTTACCTGGAACATAGTACACATTTAGATCATACAACATAAGTTTAAGTCTGAGGCGTTTGAGGCGGACAGACCCTATTTTAGCCACTTCTTTGTTCATAATTGCAACTAAAGGCTTGTGGTCAGTCTGAACATCTACTCTCATACCATAAATATATTTATGAAACTTTATTGTGGCTTCCAACACTGCAAGCAACTCCTTCTCAGTTTGACTGTAGTTTTTTTCAGCATCACTCAAAGTTTTTGATGACGTTGCCACCAGTCTATATTTAGAATCACTATCCAACTGAAACAAGCAGCACCCTGTTCCATACGATGACGCATCACATTGTAACATAGTTTTTCTCTTGCTATCAAAGGGTGTAAGGACTGGGGATTTACAAATAGCTTGTTTGATAACCTCAAAAGCCTTATCGTGAGCTGGCATCCACTGAAATTCTACATCTTTTCTTAACAGTTGCTGCAAGGGGTTCATTACCTCTGCCATCTGAGGTACATACCTACGAACATAGTTTAGGGAACCAATAATGCTTTGTAAAGCTTCAACATTCTGGGGTGGCTTTAAATTTACAAGGCTTTCCACTCTGTCAGGATCAACACTCATTCCATCTCCATCAAACATCTGGCCTACATACTTAACCTTGTAACTTGTCTTTATTAAATATGGCACCTTTTTCCCTGGCTCTAGTAAGGAGATCAGAAACAGCTTTATCATGTTCTGCTTCTGTGGCACCAGCTACTAGCAAGTCATCAAACATTATTATCACATTGGGGATGTCACCAAAATATTTTTCCACTTGATCTTGAAAAAGTTCTGGGGCCATTAATAGACCAAAAGGTAACACAAGATATCTGTACACTCCATGAACAGTAGCGAAACAACATTTCCACGATGACTCTTCATCTAGAACAATATGGTGAAAGCCCTCCGTTAAATCAAACACACTAAAAAAATTTTTACCTCTAAGCTTAGTGGCAATGTCTTCAACTGTCGGAATTTCTTTAGGCTTTCTCACTACAAATGTATTAAGATCTGAGGGGTCCAGACAGATTCGCACTTTCTTATTTGGTTTTTCTACCATTATCATTCTGCTGACACATGCTCTAGGATCAATCACATCAACTTTTGCTATAGCCTTACGGGTTTCCAGTCTATCCAGCTCAACTTTCAGAGTGGTGCGAAGACAGTCTACTACTCTTGTGGGAGGGTGGCAGATCTGATGAGTTATTTCTTTAGTTGGAATGCCACACACATCAGGAAAACGTCCTACTCCTTTGAACACATCACTATTGAGTTGGATAAAATTTTCCTTACAACTTGGTGATACTGATGTGACATGGTAGACTCCATAAGTTCTCTGTACCAACTTGAGTTTCAGACAAGCTGGTTTTCCTAGTAAAGATTTGGAGAGGGTAGGGGCTTCAATGATGAAAACTGTATCACTTATCTCCAAGTCACCATATTTGAGCTTGGAATTAATAGCATATAATGGACGACATCTTAAGCCCTCAAATCCTTCGAGCTGAAGTTTTGAATGTGACATAATTGGTTTATATTCTGCACTGAGAGTCTTAAAAATATGCAGAGGAATAATGGTAACATCACTACCTGGATCTAGCTTGAAATATAAAGGCTGATTGTCCACTAGGATTGTTTCATACCACTCCGACTTTTCTGCTCTTGATAGCGCTGCTGACAGGATTTTGAAGATGTCTTCAGAGGGACTTTCCACTTCTTGAAGAGCACAGGTGTCAATTAGTTCAACTCTGTCAGAGAACAGAAGTTCCTCCGAGTCAGAGTCAGTCGTTTTCACAGTGACTTTGTTCACTGTTAGTGTTCTTCGGCAGCACTCTTTGACGTGATTTAAAATTCCACACCTTTCACATGGTTTGCCATACGCTGGACATTCTTTTTTACCATGAATGGTGGCACATCGCCTACAGCTAAATTTTCCTGCCGGAATATCTACTTTGACAGGTTTATCTTCAGGTTTATCTCTGCTTCTTCTCTGGAACTTTTTTACAGCATCCACAACTAGTGGAGGATTGAAAAATTCCGCTTGGCTGCAGCTTTGCTCCACAGAACGACACAAATTTTCAGCTTTCCCCAGGGTGAGTTTTTCTGTTCCAAGTAACTTTTGACGAGTACTTGGTTCACGGATGCCATGGACAATTTTGTCCCTCAAAAATTGATCAATGAGAGGCTCTTCTGGATCCTTCTCATCATACTTGCAGGCGGCGAGTAGTTCACGGCAATCGGAAAGAAAGTGTTCAAAATTTTCACCTTCTTCTTGGACACGCAATAACCACATGTGACGGTCAAAAACCACTGTGTCCCTAGGTTTGAGATACTTTTCTATGGCTGCTATTGTGCTGTCGTACTTCTTTTTCTCTGCGTCGGTCATAGGAATTTGAGCAACTCGACGAGCTGAAGCATGGCCCATCATGTTCCGAAGAAGCGACAGTTTGACTTGGTCGTCGCTTTCGTGTCGACCGGTACACACAAGATAGTCTTCGAATTCTTGCTTCCAAAAAGTCCATTCAGCGGCAGCATTTTTCGCCTCAATGTCAAAATTTGGAGGCAATTTGACAGCGGAGCTGGCGGCCATGTTGAGGTTATTTCTCACTTAGAGTACACTTATTATAATATTAAGTACACTTATAAAATATTGTCACTGCACAACACTAATGTGTGCACACGTAAGATTTCCTGGACTGCGCCATGTTTAGGATAATAATCCAATAGAATGGAGTCGGATTACAAATGAGGAGGAACGTAACTTCACTTGACATTTATTTGACATGGACTGAGGGGATA